CTTTTATTTTCATTTTTAGTGATAGTTTTTGCTTTTCCTGAAAAACCTCTTAAAATTGTTTCTCATAGATAAATCCAATTACTTTATTTTACTAAAGTAATAAATTATCATATATACTTAATTTATTCTTGAGTAAAGATCTTCATATTATATTTTGAATCCAATTAATATTTTTTAAAGAATTAATGACAGGTTTGAGAGTTTTCAAAAAATTGAAATTAATTTTTTTAATCTAAGTCTCATTTTTTTTGTTAAATAGAAATCTTCAGCAACTCTTCAATTATTTCATATTTTGTTGACTAACTTCATACTTCTTCAAAATTTGGAACATAGATTTTATCAAAATTATTAGCAAGTAAATAAGCTCAAGTTATAATTGAAGAAATAGTTTTTGGCAAATGCTTGTCTTAAAATCGCAAGCCATGGTCAGCTGATTCTAAGGAATTTATTAATTGATTAGCATCTGAACTAGAGATCTTTAATAAGTCTTTTTTCTCTTTAAAATTATTCTACATTTTTGAAACATATATTCTTTAATTATCTGCTAAGGTTATTAAATTAAAAATTTGATTGGAAAAATTTAGAAATATAAAAATTGATTCCTACTAAGTGAGTTATGGATTTTTAAGCAGGAGATTATAATTGAAGAAAATTGAATAAAATAAATCAATTTATTTTTCTTATGGCTACAAATATTCAACCTAGCAATTCCAAGTGCAAAATGCTGCAAAGGAATAACAAAGCAGTAAATTATAAATCGTAAATATTTTTTAAATGAAAAGAGTCAAAAATACAGCACTCTTCAATGTAAAATAATTTCTTTATGTATTCAGAGACTAATTGTCAAAACAAAAATTATCACAATCTTAATTTCGAAGGATTTTATAAAGTTTTAATATTAGATATAGAATTCCTATCTCAAATCATATATGTTCTTTAATAAAATTGGAAAAAAAGAAGAGATGACTAAATTTATTTCAATTGTATGCGGTTCCATCTTATAGAATTAAAAGTTAATCTTTATTGATGAAGGTTCTTTTAGAAATATTTCTAAATCTTGTTATAAATGATGTCATGTATTAGGAACCTAAACTGGTTATTTATTCCAATTGTCTTCCTATGGCTTTGCTTTAATTTTTTTTAATGAATTGTTTCCCATCGATAAATTCTTAACATATTAATAACTGTATTTCTATTTATCATTACATTGAATTTTAATAGCAGAATAAAAAATGAGTGTAATTTGTTAAAGTTATCATTCCTATTTATATCCCAATTTTACATGAATTGTTTTTAGATTGAAAAAAGCAGAAAATGGAATATTATTTTCCAAGAATGCTATAGAAAGGTGATAATACATCAATTTAATAATCTAAATTTTATGGAAGTAATTAAAGATCTAAAACTAGAGTTTGAAAATCTGTAATAATGATTTTAATTATTAATGATAGCGTTGGAAAATTAAAGGAACAATCAAATATATGTTAAGAAGAAAAACTTTTGATTCCAAAAATTAAATTCAACCGGTTAAATATTCAATCAGAATATAATCATATTTCAAATCATGAATAAATTTATATCACTCATGAATAAAGTGATTCTTATGATATAATGCAATGTGCTAACCTCCCTATTTCCTGTAATTTGGTAAATTAGAATTAAATTGATTTACTTTGGATAAAAATTGAAATTTATACTAATTTCAAATTTAATTAAATCATTGTCTTAATCTAACATGCACAAATTTGGAAGCCTTTATGCAACAAATCAAAGATGACATAAACAATTACATTTATTTACGGTTAATTTATTAGCATTTTGATGATTCATGTACTCAAAATGAAAATTTAACTCGATTTTTCATTGGCTAACCTTTTTGTATTAACTAAAATTATAAGTAATGCAGCATTAATGGGAAATTTAATTGGTAAGTTGCTTTTGGAATGAGAGAAAAGTATTTTTTAGAACAAGTATGTATGTGAAAAATAATGGGTCTCCAGCAATCTAATCTTAAATAGAATTTAATATTTTCCATTTTATTAGTAAAACATTTGGATTTCATAGAAAAAAATGTGTCTCATTATTATTCTCTAGGTTTAGCTTTTAAATCTATATTTGAAAACAACCAGTGTAGAATATAAGGATCTTCAAAAAATAGAATCAGATTGCCCAAAATAACAGAATCTAATATCCACTTTGTATTTGATATCAGACATGTTGAAATAGAATTGTTTTTAAGGAGTGTTTTAATTATTATAAGTCTTAATAATTAATATGAAGAGGATACTTTTCATCATATTTTATTGATTAGATTACATATGGGAGTGAATAGTAGAGGCATCTTTATAATGAGAAACGATCAGAAGGAATATAAATAAAATTAAAGGAAAGAGACAACAAATTAATTTTATGAGATAGAAAGAGAAAAGAATAAACTGAGATATCAGAAGAAAGTGAGATTAGAGAAGAAAGACAAGCTAAACATTTAAATATATCAAAGATCTCTTTACAAGATTTAATGGTGAGAAAATTAGATAGGGTTTTAAAAAAATGAAAAATAAATGATTAATAAATAGATAGCTAACTCCTTATTACTCCTTAATTACTATATAATTCTAATATAATTCTTATCTTCAACACAAATGTCAATAAATATTTTTATAATATAAAATAAATTAATTTCATATATTATTTGAAAGAAAAATAATATAATGATATAAAATATATTATAACTTGTACTTTTGATAAATCCTCTTATGTTAATTTGATATTTTTTGTAAATAACATAATATTTGTTATTATTACAAGTAGATCAAGAAAATAGTATAATTTTATGAAATAACCACTACAGGAAAATAAAAAATAATGAGAAAGACATAATAGCATTGTTGATCTAAAAGCAATGAGAATAATAAAGAAGAACTGGTCTTTGAAGTTTATTGTTTTTAGTAATTAAACTCTAAAATAATTTGTATAATTAGATTTTCCCCTTATTTATTTGCGTCAGCCAACAAAATAAAATAAAAATTAAATGGGATGAAGGATTATATTAATTTGCTTTTGTGGCAAAATCTAATATTTCTCTATTAAGTAGCTGTGTCAAAAATTAAAATTAAAATTTTCCTAGAAAAGTTTAGCAGCTTGACTTGCGTTTTAAGTGATTTTTACAGATTTCAAATCCTTAAAATAACAGGAAGATCATTGCTGAGCGATTAATCTATAATATTCTGACAAAATAGAAATAGTCTTTGCTGTTTTTTTATCAACTAAACCGATGTATGAATCTCCTGTATATAAGGAGATTCATATCAATATCTAAAATAATTAACTAGTGAGTAATCTTATTATTTTATGTATTTATGTTATATCTTTTATTCTAAAATTTTCTTGATTTATTTTGATTAAATTATTTTATAATCTTTTTATCAATAATGAAGAAATCTCCTATTCAGCTTAAGTTAATTTTTCTTTAAATTTAATTTAATTTAATTGTTAATTTGTTATTATGTATTTGTTCTTTTAAGCTATTCATTTTTTTTTTCTTTTAAATTTATTCAATTCATATTCTAAGCTTTCAATGTCCTTGATAGACAAATTAATTAAATAAACTAATCTATTGCTTTGATATTTTGGTTTTTAATACTTTTGTGAAGTTTTATAATTCATAATTCTTAAAACACCACTCAATTCAATCCTTTTTTCGATCGTAATCAAGTTAGCTCGATCATTATTTCCTATTTTATCGAAATCATATGATCCTCTATCACTATTTCATTTTCAATTTCAATATTCATTCAACTCTCAATATCCAACCTACCAATTTTTATACCATTTTAATATTCACTATGATATTTTAGTTAATAATTCCGCTCAAATATATCGTTCAATTCAATCCAATTTCCTGCCTTAATCTAACTAATATTACTATCGCCCCTTTTTATTTACTCATATTATCCGCTGCCATAATTTTATTATCCTATAAGCTATTACATCACTTCTATTGGTTTATCATAATCCCAATTAAAAAATGGAAAATTCCACATTCCAACTTTCTTTCTATTCTAATATTCACCAATAAAAACTATTTTTCTTTTTCTTTTCAAATATATATATATATGAATTAATACTACCTCCAAAATCCATCACTTATTTCTATCCACTTTCCAATCTTTTATGAGCCTTCACTATCATATTTTCCGCCTTCTCTATTTGTGATTTTATTTAAAAAATTAAAAATACTAATTTACATTAATGTAAATTAAAATAAATATCCCATGTCCCAATTTCTTTATCATTTTTATATTTTCCAATAAAAATGTTTTAACTGTTTCTAACAAAAATTACTTGTAAACCTTTACCTCCAAAACCTATAACTTAACTCAATCTACTTCCCAAATTTAATGGACCTTAAAATTCAAACTCAATATTTTTTCACCATAAATACTTCCACACTTTTTTTCATAATTGGTGAAAAAGATATACAAATTATAACATAATCTTAAATTAATTTAAATTATTTAATTTTCCCATCCTCCTCAAAATAGGTATCCCAAAAGACCAACTTTGTTTCCGTTTTTATATTTACTATTATAAATGATTTGGCTTAGTCTAAAAATCAAAAGAAGCAAATATACTCCCAAAATTCATCACTATTTTTACCATTTTTTAACCTTAATCATCTCATTATCCACCTCCGCTAGATCATAACTTTGTATATACATATCTTTTTTATTTAGAAAATATTTCCAAAAACCACATTTGACATTATTATAGTATTCTCCAATTTCATATACTTGAAATTTACTATATAAAAAAAAGGACATTAGATTAAGTCCAATAATTTTTGTTCAACTCTTTCCACAAGCCTTACTTTTATCCGCCTAGAGAGTATAATATTTTTCAAAATTAATCATATTTCTTCTATAATATCCACCAACTTCAAATAGTTTTGTCATTTCCAATATGGAGTCCATTAACCAATCTTTTGCATTTGCTGATTATAGTTTTCATTGAATATTTTTTATTTATTCTAAATTTGGGAGCACTTGAGGGTTATAAGGTAAAATCTTTTCTAAATAAATTAGTTTCATTATTTTACATTCTTAGGATTAATCTATTAAAAAAATATATAATCTCGTTTTCTTTTGTTAATAATTTGAAATTTCATTTTCACCAATCTCTATTCATTCTCATCCCAACCAAGGTATTCAAATTCTTATGTACCATAATAGTATTATTCGGTCAGTTGATCTTATTGAAATCTCTCTTCATACGTTAGTTAATTGAGAACTGATGATTCTTGATGATTTCTATTTGAGATCATAATAAAAATTAATTCTTATGATTTTCGACAAAAGCATAATTATAATTCGAAATATTATATTTAAAGTGATAATCTTAGTTTGGATAATGTAAGATAAATGCCACTTTATATATCTTATAAAAGAATTTGAATAAATTCATTATTCAAAATAAAGGATTAATGATACATTTTCATTAAATTAATTAAAAATCAATATTATGATAATCTTGGTGAATTATTTCAATATCAAATATATGAAGTCTTCTTCTTAATCATATTTCTTAAAATTACCTCACTTAAATTTCAGATTAATTTTGATGCAAAGAAATCAAGTATTGTCCATCAAGACTAAGAATTGCCTTCAAGAAACCATGTTGCAAATCGATTTGTAATTCTTTTTCAATTTCAAAATTTTCTTTTTTTTTAAATGATTACTTTTTATTGCCTTTTATTCTAAAACAGCTTAAAAAAAGAGTTCCCTAAAGAATGAGTATATTTCTATCTTTAAAATAAAAAGGATTTATGCCATAATATTAGGATCCCATAGAAACTAAAAAATTAGCTTTCCTGGTGTAATTATTTACAGAATTAAGTCTATATAAATATAATTATTTTCCATCATAAGGAAGAAATACAAAGTTCTTATCATTAAGAAACTATAGTTAACGACCCCACATTTCGGTTTTAATTTTTTAAATCACTACCCACATTTATGTAGTTGACGATTTTTGGATGACCAAAATATTTTAATTAGTACTACATGAGATTAACTTATTTCCTTATTCATTAATAGACAAAGTGGCAATAGTTGTATTGAAGTCCTTTATTGTTTACTAACAGTGCCATTATTAATCCGATATATTTCTTATTTATTCTTCTTTATTTGATTTAAATGGAGTCCAAAATTTAATTTATGAGTCTTCGCCTCCTGAGACTATAAGGGTGTTCTAAACATTAAATATTATGCAACTAACTCCTTTGATATGCCCTGATAATTTTTAAATAAACTTAGCTTTTGAAATTAGTTATTTGGACCAAATGAGAATTGAAGAATATTTTGAACCTGTAACAAACTAATCTTATTGTTTGGGAAAAAAGCTTAAAGCTGAAGTTCTATTATTATTAAGTAATTAGATATGTTTTAAGCCCATTTTGTTGTTAAATTAAAAAACTCTAATTGTTAATTCTTCTGAAAATAAAAAAATTGAATTTGATTCGTTTATTGCCATGCATATTTACCATCTATTTCTTTATGGAATTGGATTCTAACAAATAATTGAGTATTTGAATGATTTTTAAGATTATTAGGGCTCATTTTGTTGCATAATTTGATCACTTGCTATAAATAAGCAATTAATATTAGTTTAATTTTAAAGAATGTAAATTTATATTAAGATTATAAGAAAAGTTGAAAGAATTAATATTAAAATTCATTTAAATAATTACAGCCATATTATAAAGTTTATAAATCACAATTTAGAGAGGGATACTATTAAGAAAATAGATTCTTTATTACAACGAGATTAACAAATCTGGTTTATTATAGAAAATTAATTAGTATTAAAAATTACAATATACTAACTTATTTTCATAAATTTTTAAGAATTGTTGTGGGTACAAAATAGTAATCAATTTACAAGATATATAAATTTTTAAGAAATTTTCAAACAAAAATTTATAAATACACAGGTTTGTTTCTAAAAATTAAGATACGGATTTATTTATTTATATTGGTATATTGGTTAAATATATAAAGCTATACTTTATTTTCATTAGTAAAATTAGTTGCGTCCAATTTAATTAAACTGATGTACTAACTTAAAAATAGTTATAATTGGTTTTAAGAACTCAAAATAACCATTAAAATTTTTAAAGGCTCGATATTGTTCGCAGAATTTATATAATGTGTAAATACAATCCTCAGACTGTTATTCTTTTTCTTATACCACACATCATTATTTCTAAAATTAAGATACCAGATTTGTTATTCAGTTTTTACGAATTTGATCATAAATTTATATATCATGATATATCTAGTAAAAAAGTAAGTGTTTTAATATATGTAATTAATATAATACAGCTTGAGAAGAATAGTCAAAATTAATTAAAATTAGACCTTATAAAAGCAGGTAGACAAATATTAGAAATAATATCAAGAATTTGCAAATTAAGCTATTCATCTTAAATAAATATGATAAAAATTAATATGATAAATTCAAATTAAAGTAGTAAAAATTTGACTTTTATACTCTCTCAAATAGAAAATCTTAGGGAATGATTATTTAGAAAATATTCTAATAAATTAAGATCACTTTAAAAATGGATATAGAAAATAAGAAAATTAGAATGAATAGAATAAATAATAAATTATTTAAGATAATTTTTAATAAAATAATACAATTCAACATAATTTGAATGGAACCTTGATAAAAAATAATCAAAAAAAACATATTAATTCAATCAGCAGTAAAATTTAGCCCTAAAGAAAATTTTAATGTTAAAAATGAAATATTCCTTTTTGATTATATAAGATCTTCTAATTAAATGTAAGTATGGCGAAAATAGTTTTCTTGAAAGCAGAATCAATAATAATTGCCATAATTATAATAATAAAATATTGATGAAGGAAAATTTAGCAACTACCATTACACAAAAAAAGAAATTACATTTTAAATAAATTAATTCGAACAAAATTCAATAAAACGCACTGGTCATATGGGAGTGACTTAGTCTTCGACAAACAGTTTAAATCAAATTGGTCTATGTTAATAACATCTGAAATCTTAAAAATAAATTAATGGAACTTATCATTTAGAAAATCCACTACAATGCTGAAACAACCTCCTATTGCTACCTAAGTTAATCGCCTATTCTAAATTACTTTCCAAATCAGATTTGGAGGATGAGAATTTGAGTCTAATAAGGTTTAAATAATGATCATTTTTAGAAAGTAAAAGGTAAACTGAATAAAGGTATAATTATGGAAAAATAAGGCCTGCAGGGTTACCCACCACCTTAAACCAATTCTGTTTTTGATTTTTAATACTATTCTTTTTGGTTATTGTAAATAAAAATATGAATGTGCGCTGATCTATAATTGAGGAGCTGTTTCTATAGGTTAAGATGTAAAAACATGATTATTTATAAAACATAATCTATATCTCCATTGATCTACTGATATTCTTTATCTAATATTTCATTATGTTTTATTAGAACCTACCATCACTAATATTCAAAAATGACTAGCACAAGAAAGTAATGTATTACCTTCTTGATTAATTGATAATCCAAAAATTTTAGCTGTATGTTCTTCAATAGTCTATGAACATTTCCATGGTAAAGAAGTTTTGTTGATGGAAGAGACCAAAATTTAATCTTCTTATCATAAGACCCACTAATAATAAGGTCTCTGATGGAGTAAGTATATTTAAACATATTTCTTCTCGTATACATTAGTCTTTCTGATTAGTTGGTATTGTAAATTCGAATGAATTAAGAGGCGACCAAATAATATTCGTATTACCATCTAAACCCGAGATAAATGAATTTCTCAGTGATGGAGTTTTTTGAAAAACATTAGAGAAGACACAAAATCTTAATTTTTACCTTTAAGTATTTCAATTTATCTAAAGATGCTTTTGTAATTGTAATTCGAAAGGCTTCTGATTATGAAAGAGGTGGTAGAATGACCTAGATGGCTTTTATGTTTAATTCAGCTGCAGCAATAATCAGAGTGTTATCATGATTGATAGCTATTGCTCTGTATAATTTTAAGTATCTATTAGTGGAAAATCTACAGACTTGATTTTATTTCATAAACTATTAATATAAGAAGATGAATTTGATGACTCAAATATATGATAAACAATATTTAAATTTAGATAGAAAATTATCATTTCTATTTAGTTTATGACAACGCCACAACTTGTATTTATCGTGTTAAATGAAAAAATGAAGAAATATGTATATAATTAATTTATATAAATTATATTTTAAGATTGCACTATTATTGAATT